CATTCATTTTGCTGAACGAGAATCAAAGGTCCGAGTCGGTAAAATGATCCGAAATTCCCATCACTAGTGCATAGCTGCACGCTTTTTTCAAGCTTTTTCCCATTTGCTTAAGTCTGTGGGTTAAGTGTACTTAGACTAGATATGCATTTTGGGCGGAGAATCAACAAAATATGAACATGTCGCATGGAAACAGCTTAATTTTACGTGCTTTCTGCCGATGCCTTAAGTGATCTTAATTGTATTTTCAATACGTGATCTGGAGTACTGTATTAAGTCACGCGCCTCTACATGGCCAAATGGCGCATTGCAGTTTTCAGAAATCCCAACGTAACAAAATGAAACTGTTTACTTTTATTATACATTGAGAAGTAAACGTTTCAGTCCAAAACACATGTGAATAATTCATATACGCTTATAAGGATTATATATGTAGGAAATGTACATCTTATTATACTGTAGCACTGGCCATACCCAGAAAACCCTGTGACACCTTGGCACAATGCCAGCTGCACATAGTCACTGTAATAAATTTTTTAAATAGCATGTATTGTACCATTTTTCAGGTCCCCACAAAGATCTGTGAATGCAGTCAAAAAAATTAAAAATTTGGTTACTTATGGTTAGAGATTAAGATCATCATGTTGGGATTAGAGTTTACCCCATAGAAATGAATGGAGAGTGGCTGCACAAAAATATAATTACAAACATGTGAATCCTATCCTTGTGTGTAGTTTATGGAGATAGCAGAGTGGACACTGTCCCCTTTGGATTGATGGGAAGTTGATGTAAATAAACACACACACATACACACACAGCCATATACTGTACTATGGTGAAGTTAGAGACACCACAGTCCGATTATTTTAGTAATTTGAGGGCTAATTAATGGGAGTTTGATGGCTAACTCAATGAGACCTCTGGAAATCAAACATCTACCTTGACGATCTGCCGGTACATGCTGCTAATTTTGATGGAGCTCTGTGGAACCTTCAGAAGGTCTTTCTGGGAATCTGTCAGACTTCCTAGGGGATGTCATCAGCGGGGAAGGGTTGGCTGCCTATCCAAAAAATACTCTTTCAGAGCTGCACAGTTTCCCTGGGCTAGGCTAATATTACAGGCAAATTTCAGAAACTGAAAATACGAAATTGGCTTACTGGCTGGAGGTGCTGCCAGAGTATGACTTTGAGTTGTAGTGCCACCCTGAGTGACTGCATGACAATATGGATGCTCTCTCCTTTTTTTTTTTTTTTAACCGCTGTCGTGTCCGGCAGTTTAGCAAGCAGGATGTTAGTCTGGGTGCTTTATTGTGCCAACACTTTTATTTTGCCAAGTGGAGCTTCGGATTAAGCTCCTCTTGTTACTTGAGATATACTCTTTATTCACCATTTTAGATTATTGCACCATTAAGTCAGAGCCGACAGGGAAAGTTAACTGAAATAGAAGAGATGAAGAGAGGAAGAGAGGAGGGAGAGAAAGAGGAGAGGGAAAAAGAGAGAAAGAGAACAGAGACAGAAGAAAGAAAAAAAGGGGGGGAGGTCAGATAGAGAGAGAAAAACAGGGAAAGAAAAATAATACATGACAACTTAAGAAAAACTAGAGCAAAATGGAAAGAGTAACAAAAGGACAGCTTCTGCATCTTAGTACTGGACATTGTATCATCACACCAGCTGCTGTATCTGAAAAATAAGATCCAGGTGCATACACAAAAAGTATACATACAAAGAAACCAATGGTACCATTATGACAGCGAATAAGCTTGTGCCAGTATCTGCTTCTGGAATTAAATACATTAATACCAAAGAGAAAAATACATAAGCAGACCAACAGGAACACAGTCTGGATACTGCCGCACCAGCATCTGCATCTGAGAAGAAAGGATGGAAGCCAAACACACACACAGACAAGAAGAGGAGAGAGGGATAAAATAGGGCAAGAAAGCCCTGGGCTATCTTGTGTATGTGTGCGCGTGCGTGCGTGTCTATGTGTGTGCACGTTCTATGTGTATGTCGGTGGGTGTGAATGTGTATGTGTGTGCGTGTGCATATGTACGTGTGTGTGTGCATATATACGTGTGTGTGTGTGTGCGCATGTGTGTATGTTTGTGTGCTGTGAGTGTATGTATGAGTGTGCAGGTTAACATGGAATGATTCCCAATGGGTGTGCGAGGCCACAACAATGCCGCCCCAGGGCCCCCTAGACGGCCAGGAAAGCCCCGAGCGATCATGGACCCAGCCGCCCCACACCGGCGGGCACGAGCCAGGAGCCCCACAGCCACAGGCGGCAGCGCACCAGTTCCCCCACGGGGGCTGGCCACGCAGGCATGGATAGAGGCCGAAGCCTGGGCCACCCGCACACCGCGGGG